CAGACCGACCTGTTGCGAAAACGCTTAAAAAGTCCTTTAGTGTTGGTCTACCGCGAACGGTGTGTTCGTTTGTATGTGATTTCATCGCCCTAGAAGTCAAGGAATCCGTGCTAACTTTTCACGACGGCAACTTCTCTAAATTCCATGTGCTGTACGCATGCAGGGGTGACGCATGCGCTTGAGAGACCAGACGGCGATTGGTGTCTGAAAAACGGTGTCGAAATTTAAACCCAGGCCTCACTGCCTGGGTAAATATGATTTAGTACATAAAAGACCATTATGTAAGCAACTTAAAAAGTTTAGTCTACGTTCGAACTCATGCCTTCTTTGAGCGGCGCAGTGCTTTGCTAAACGGACATGTAATCGCTGACAAGCAAATTGGGAGCTGGTCACCTTGTGAGTTCGTAATATGATAATACCCGTTATTGATGAAGATATGACCATAAATATCGTGTTACTTTATGATGATAGTGGTCTCCATAGAAGGAAAGCCGGAAATTTTAATTTCAGAAGAGCGTTGCTCAAACAATTATGGAAATTAATTATTAATGGCTTGAAGAGTGAAGAAGAGGGGAAGACCAAATGATGAACGACTGTTGCCATGAAATAAAGAAGTAAGTTAGAAAGAAAGATATATGTAGAGTAACACAATTAATAAAACAACAAACGCAAGAAAATCGGCGCGGCTTGTGTTAGAAAGCGCTAAGAGTTGGAGGGGGGGGGNGGGAGAATAGGGGGCGGGAGGCAAGAGAGGAAAGGGCAGGAAGCAGGAGTTCTAAGAAGGAGGGAATCATCTATTTTAAAAGGGTTAAAATGCTTTTAAAAACAAGAACCTAAAATGTTATTTGACTTACATTTAGCCTGTTTTGAGACTTCTGGGCCGGCAGAAAAAACAAAAATTCGCCCTTGGCTAAAAAACTGACGCTTACTTCCGGGTAAAATTGGAAACCTTTTTACGGTGGTTACGTGATGGGTTATGAAATGCTGTCGCTTAGGCTTTTAAAAGACGTGAGTAGGAGGAGTAAGACGATTGCGCAGCTAAATAACAAGGATGCGTTTTCAGTCTCCTTATTTACAGGAGAGGGGAGCAAGACAGACAAGGGCAAAAGTCGGGAGATAATATAAAGGTACGGGAAGTGGGGGAGCAGGGTACGGGAGGCGGGAGGTTCTGACCCCCATGTCCAATCCCCCCCCCCCCCGCCTCTAACAACAAGACCACTTCGCCTTCAATATGCATACAACTATGTCATAATCCGTAATTGATTGAAGAATTTATTTTAGTCCTGAGGGTGGAAATAGAGATTTGCTACAAAATTTAGGGAGTTTAAGCCATCCGAAGCTTAGTAACTTCTGGTACAATTTATATTACTATGTTCAGAGTAAAAACACGTGTAAATTAAAACTGGAAAAATTGTTTTTATTCTACTTAGTTTCAACTTCCTCTGCAGGTGCTTTCATCTGAAAAAGCTGTCATTTCTTCAGACGAGGAAATACCTTATTTAGGGTGGTGGTAATTAGGTAGTTTATCGAATACATGCAAAGCAATATGCAAGGTTATTTTGATCAGTAATTGCTGCCGACTGAATGCGGAAAAAACTTAACCGCCTTAGAAACTTTTTCCTATTTCCCTTACCTGTTAAACGCGACAACTGATGTTCTTAAAAAATCTATTGTGGAGGAAATTGGAACAATAAGCTCATTCGATGCTACTCGGCTTTCACTGACTCTTTAAATGCATTTCAATTTCATTTCTTTCATGATCTAACAACTACCAATATTCTGTTATTTTTAATCCATGAGCTAGAACAGGATTGACTGGTAATTCCAAACAACTGACATATCTATCACTTTTGAGCGTAGACATGAATTTTTAAAGGTAAAAACTCGACAGACGGGCAAACTCGAAATTCTAACCCAATAAACTTAACACTGAACCCTTTTAAACCTAAAAATAAATTAACAGTTGTATAAAACTGTTATAATTAAGGGACAACAGGATGTTCTATCAGCCACATATTTTATTCTTAATCCGACGTTAAGCTGCAAGCTGACCAAGGCTTTTTGTCAACTCACGGCGATCTTTACAGCGAATTCAATTTTCTGACCACTAAAGAAGAATGGCGAACATTACTGGAGATGGAAACTTCACAAGCAAACTGAACCAAGTACTCAGCTCACCACCAGCGGACATAATTGAGTTTTTCTCAACTTTGAACATTTTTCTGTCCGTCACCCCATCTCTTGGCAATGTTCTGCTCCTTGTTGCTCTTCATAGAGTCACTTCCATTTATCCCCCGAACAAACTTTTCTTTCGATGTCTGACGATCACTGATCTTGGAGTTGGCATTCTTGTGCAACCACTCTATGTAACTGACATGTTGGCTACTTTCAAAAATATGAATGTGAACGCTCGGCGTTCTATATCCGATGCAAGATGTGTTTCAAGTTTGATTCTCTGTGGAGTATCCCTCTTGACGTCGGCTGCAATTAGTGTGGACAGACTCCTCGCCGTGTTGTTAGGACTGAGATACAGACATGTCGTAACTTTAAGGCGAGTTCGTGTAGTTATCATTTGTGTTTGGTTAGTTGGTGTTTTCCTTGGGTCAATGATCATGTTCAGAGGCGCTATCGCCCTCAAAGCAGCCTCTGCTCTCGTGCCACTTTTGCTGGTAATTTCTATTTACTGTTACACAAGAATCTTCCACAAACTACGACATCAAGAAGCCCAAGTACGAGACCACATCCCTCAACACCAAGCGAACGGAGGAGGGAATTCACTGAACATAGCAAGATACAAAAATTCCGTTTCATGTGTTTCGTGGGTGCAGTTGGCATTAGTTGCCTGCTATGCCCCTTGGAGCATTGTCTGTGTGCTCCCTGTCAGCGGAATGGAAAATCGTGTGGCACGGCTCGTTGCAGAGACTCTGGTCTACTTTAACTCATCTCTGAACCCGATCCTGTATTGTTGGAAGATCAGAGCAGTGAGACAAGCAGTGAAAGACGCAAGAAGACAGCTTAACTGTTTAAATTTTTTTAAATAATATTCGTATAGACCTAGATCGACATAAGTTGCAAAGCACATTAAAACAAGCTAGAAATATGCATAAAGAAAGAGGATTTAAACTCAGTACCTAATTTATTACTCACTGCAATACTTAAAATGATCTTAAAATCCATGGAAACGTTCACATAGCAGTTTCATTACGTAGATTAGCCTTTTTTGAAGCTTTAGTGTATGCTAAGCCACTGATGGGAAAATTATGATAAACCTACTGATGCAAATGTTGCAGTACCAGTTGTATTAGCGTGGAAGTAAAATACAACTTTCATTTTACCGAGTATATTTTCGTGTTTTGTCAGGATATCGTTTGTCCATGGTATCTGTGGCTTGAAGCGCTTGGATGAGTATTCCCCTTGGATGGGATACCAGTCTACCGCAGGGTTAACCCCTAGCATTTGAGTGAATGAACTTTACTACAGTTTCAATATTTACATAGCAGAACAGGAGTACAATAGAAAAAGTGCCCTAACAAGGGAAAATAGTTTAAACTAGTTTCTGTTTACGAACGTGTTTACAAACATCCGGTGTGTGGACTCGGACCATTTGATTTGGAAGGCAGTTCATTTACCATTTCCATTTGCTAGGCCACCGCACCTCTCAAACCCCACCAGTCCCAATCCCCTAACCAAAGGTTTGAATCAACCAAGTTCTCCTCAGTTTCTCTAATAATAATAATAATAAAAATAAAATATCTTAAGCCAGGAGGCAACCTCACCCTCAGGTAGTTTTAAGGCTAGCTAAAACTTTTTAAAAATCTAAAAAAAAGTCAGATAGAGAAAATAAAATACTAAAATTTGATAAAATAGTTTACACAAGCTTCTGAAGTAAATCTAGACTATTCGCATCTCCTGTAGACTCTGGAAGAGCGTTCCACACATTGAAATTTTTTCCAGACTGCTCGCGCCCGCCCTCGGTTTGAACAGTAATCATCGAATCGCTGCTACGTTGGCTATCACTTAACCAACGAGGGCGAGTTGTCTAATAAATATATCAATGATAAAAGTGAAAAACATACAACTTTTAGCATAACAATTTTGAGAGAAACACATGTGCGCGATCGTGTTTTTTGCTCGGCAGATGCAAACTACGACAGAAAACGGAAAAATTTAAGGGCAATGCACGCTGAAACGTAATGCACTATTGTACTAGCTATATATTTTTTGAAACAAAATAATGTAGATGTAGATGTCCCAGGAGGAAAATTTACGTTATCTTTAAACAAAGGTCTTGTCTCATAAATGTTGTTGCCCACATTGAATGGTTATAGGGGAGAGGGGGTAAAGGGAAGGGGGGAAGCAGGGCTGATACCTCGCTATCAGTCAAGTGATAGGGAAATGTAGCATATTAGAATAGTTCAGACATGGTTGTCTTCGCTATTGAGAAGTTGCCTGAAAACTGCTAGAAATGACTGAAGCATTCTGAAAAGTTAGTTTAGGCACTGTTCTATGATTATGATTATTGGGAAAGACATAGAGATTTTCCCTTCATCCCATTGCTAGATGTGTAGCTGAGGCCAACGAACTGAAAAAAGGTAGAAACTATCAGAAATACGATTTAGTACACAAAAGAGGGCGCCGATAAAACATCCTGGAACATCCTGGAACATCCCGGAACATCCCGGAACATCCCGGAACATCCCGGAACATCCCGGAACATCGAATAATTAGGCTTGCGGTAATCTATTCATTAAATATTTGTAAAGCAATATGCAACCTCATGTGATTAGCCATTTCCACGGATGGACTAAGGAAGGACTCGTCCGCCTCAAAAACTGTTTTATTTATTACCTTTTTAAGGGTTGTCTCGTTTATTCGCGTACCCCTTATATACACATCGATTAAAGGTTTTAATAATAGAGCCCGAATTACATGTTTACTTTTAAATCATGCTAAACCCTAATGGTACAATTTAGTTCCATTTTTGTTTTATTGGAACTTTTTTCGTATTTTAATTCGTCTGGTGATATTGTAATTTTAAGGTAGAAGTGGTTTTAAATTTCAATTACAACTATTGCAAAGCGCCATTGAGCTCTGGAAATGAGCGCTGTATAAATTATTGTATTGTATTGAAATTCTCGCGCTCTCATTGGTCGAGAATGGCGTCATATTCCACTTTGTAATAAAGTTTCCATGGCACGGGTTGATGACAGTAAGCTGGCTTTCAAAATTTTGCTTCGGAATTTTGACAAATTTGTCCAACATTAAACATCCCCTGTGATTCAGACAAACGCAATGGAAACGAGCTCTATGTCTACAGTAAATATGGCTCACAGAGACTATTATTAGCAACAGTAGGGTGAAAACTGTACTAAAATGACAAGTTTTGCTAGAATGCCGCCTACAAAACACGTAGCGAAATAAACAAATTCTCAACCAAACTAGTGCTTCGATAACAGACATTATATTGGTTACGAAGGCGGAAATTATACTTAAGAAGTAAAACAACGACAGAAAACAACAATTGAGCTGTCTCTCTTTATGATGAGAAGCTTTATTTTTGTAAAAATACTCAATTGCTCAAAACAACACTTACATGCAGTGTAGTAACGCTCGTTCTCTGGTCATCTCAGCGAAGTGAACCGACGAGTAGTCAGCTCAAAGCTTGCTCTAGATATTCTCCTCTGTGGTCGGAGTAGAATCAGTGGGAGCAGTTTAGTCTGTCTAGCTTTTACGATAGTTCGGGCAATCTTGCTGCTTAAATAACTGTAGCTCCTTTCAAATTCAACTCAGCATTCCGCATTTTCGTCCACGTAGGGGCCAAACCACCCCCCTAATGTTTCATGAAGGCTATATTTGCTTGGTTTATTTATTTCTGAACCAAGTTTGGCAGATGAGCTTTCTT